GCACTATCTCTTCCCCCACATAGACCATATGGCTGTGCCATAGACCTCTTACCTGGGGCTCCCCTCCCTAGCAGTCGACTCTATAACATCTCCAAGCCCGAGAGGGAAACCATGGAGAGGTACAGTATATAAATGAGTCCTTAGCCGCCGGTATTATTCGGCCTTCCTCATCTCCTCTCGGGGCCGGTTTCTTCTTTGTGGGTAAGAAGGATGGATCTCTGTGACCTTGTATTGATTACAGAGGTTTGAACCAAATAACTTTTAAGAACAAATACCCTTTACCCCTGTTAGCATCTGCCTTTGAACCCGTCCAAGGAGCCACAGTTTTCACCAAGTTGGATTTAAGAAACATCTATCATCTCCTCAGAATCAGAGAAGGAGATGAGTGGAAGACTGCATTTAAAACTCCTCTAGGGCAATTCGAGTATCTAGTAATGCCTTTTGGTCTGACCAAGGCTCCTGCCTGTTTTCAAGCCCTGGTTAACGATGTTCTGAGAGATTTTCTCAATATCTTCGTTTTCGTCTATATTGACGACATTCTGATCTACTCCAAAAACATGTCTGAACATAAGAAACACGTCCGTTTGGTTCTTCAAAGACTCACTAAAAACATACTTTTTGTCAAAGCTGAGAAGTGTGAGTTTCACCGTCCTCCTGTTACCTTTCTAGGATATGTGCTCGAGGGCGGGGAGGTGAAGCCGTCTGAGGACAAGATCAAGTCAGTTCTGGACTGGCCCACTCCCGAAAATCGTAAACAACTACAAAGGTTTCTGGGATTTGCTCATTTCTACAGAAGATTTATTCGAAACTACAGTCAGACAGCTCAGCCTCTCACTGCCCTGACTTCCATCAAAAGGACTTTTCACTGGTCTGCGGAGGCTGAGGCTGCATTTAATAAACTCAAGGCTCTTTTTTCTAGTGCACCCATCCTCGTCCAACCTGACCCCTCCAAGCAGTTCATCCTGGAGGTGGATGCCTCTGATTCTGGGGTGGGGGCAGTCTTGTCCCAAGTGTCGGATTCTGACCAAAAGACTCATCCGTGCGCCTTTTTCTCCCGCAGACTTTCGCCCGCAGAGCAAAATTATGATGTTGGAGATAGAGAACTCCTCGCAATAAAACTGGCTCTGGAAGAATGGCGGCATTGGCTGGAGGGCGCAGAGCATCCTGTTCTGGTATGGACAGATCACAATAACTTATCATACATTCAGTCTGCCAAACAATCCAATCCACATCAGTCCTGTTTGTCTCTGTTTTTCTCTCGTTTTAACCTGATTATCTCCTACCGGCCCGGTTCCAAGAACATCAAACCCGACTCACTCTCTCGCCTGTACTCGCCCGACAAACCTGAGACCCCAGACCCCGTTCTCCCTGCCAGCTGCACGGTGGCTACTGTCTCCTGGGAAATCTCCGACCTGATCAAATTGGCACAAGCTTCTGAACCCGACCCAGGAAATGGTCCACCCAACAAAACGTACGTACCCTCTTCTGTCAGGTCCCGTCTCATCCACTGGATGCACTCTGCTAAGTTTTCAGCTCACCCCGGTGTAAGCAGAACCATAGCCCTGATCTCTCGCCGTTTCTGGTGGCCTTCTCTGCACAAAGACACCAAAGAGTATGTCCTAGCCTGTCCTGTCTGCGCTCGCAATAAACCGTCACATCAACCTCCCTTTGGTTTTCTCCATCCGCTACCTGTTCCATCTCGCCCCTGGTCCCACATCGCTGTGGATTTTGTAACCAGTTTGCCTGCATCAAAAGGTATGACAACAATCTTCACAATCATTGATAGATTTTCGAAAGCCTGCCATCTTGTTCCCCTCAGAAAACTTCCGACTGCCTTCCAAACAGCACAGCTTCTCATCAAACACGTGTTCAGACTTCATGGAATTCCCCAGGAAATCCTGTCAGACAGAGGCCCTCAATTCACCGCTCAGGTCTGGAAACATTTCTATTCTGCTCTTGATACCAAAATCTCTCTTACTTCAGGTTATCACCCACAATCCAACGGACAAACGGAACGTATGAACCAAGAACTGGAATCTACCCTCCAATGTTTCACGTCATCCAACCCGATATACTGGAGCCAATATCTTCACTGGGTAGAATATGCACACAACTCACACACTTCGTCTGCAACCGGTCTGTCCCCTTTTGAGGTGTCCTTAGGTTATCAGCCACCCTTGTTCCCTGCCGACGAAAAGGAAATCTCTGTTCCTTCAGTCAATTATCACATCCGCCGCTGCCGTAAGATTTGGAAGGACACCATATCAGCTCTGAACCGGACTTCGGCTCAAAATAAGAGATTCTCAGACCGCAAACGACGCCCTGCTCCCACCTACACACCCGGACAACAGGTTTGGCTCTCCACTCGTGACATTCCCCTCAAGTCCATGTCCAGTAAACTCTCTCCTAGGTTCATCGGCCCATACAAGATCGAGTCTGTAATCAACACGTCTGCCGTCCGCCTGCATCTGCCATCCTCACTCCGAATCCACCCATCTTTCCACGTGTCCCAGATCAAACCTGTCCTGGCCAGCCCTCTTTGCCCTCCGTCCGACTCCCCTCCACCCGCCCGGGACATTGATGGTCACCATGCCTTCACCGTTCGCCGGATCGTAGACTACTGTCGCCGGGGCCGCGGCTGGCAGTACCTGGTCGACTGGGAGGGCTACGGTCCAGAGGATCACACTTGGGTTACTGGATCCTTCATTCTGGACCCTGCCCTGATCGAGGAATACCGTGAGTCTCTGCCATCTACCTCCTCTGGACCGCCAGGAGGCGGTCGTTGAGGGGGCGGGGTACTGTTGGGATCTGGAGGTCTGTCCAGTTTCTCCACCAGAGGGCGTATGAGATCTCCTGGAGCCGGAGCTGATTGCTACCACCTGTCGTTCATCTGCTCATCAGGGGATCTGTACTTAAGGAGGCAGAGGACGTCTCTCCAGTGCCAGAGTGTGCCAGTTACGGTTAGCAAGCCTGAGCCAACCTGCCTGTCTGAATCTCTGACTCCCTTGAAACCTGAACCTGATCCGTTTTCTCCTTTCTGCTTCCCCAGGTTGAACCTGCCTGAAAACCTGAAAACCCTGAAGAGTTTCTCTGTTGGAAATCTGAAGAACCCTGGAGAATCTTTCCTGCCAAAGACCTGCCTGCCCGCTCTCTGAAGAATCTGGAAGGGAAACTCAAACCAGTTATCTGCAAACACTCAAACCAAGCTCTGCCTCCGCCAAGCCCTCATTCTGCCGACAGCCTCTGGACCCTCAAGGTCGCCCCCCTCAGCCGCTAAGCTCTAACTCCAGAACAGGTACAGTCCTGCTCACTCACATCCTGCTAATTATCTGGACATCTGCTAACTTCTCTGTCCCCCTCTGCAGTGAACCCGCTCATGACCAGTCCCGGCTCAGATTAACCCCCTGGATCTGTTTATTCTCTGTGCAGAAACATCACCTAATAAACCTTTGAACTTTTCTCCTGTTTCCGTGTGTTCTGCATGTGGGTTAGGAACCTTAAGCCAAACATGACACCTTCCTCTTTGTACATAGTAGTTAGTTTAGTTTAGTTGAGTTTTACTAGTCTTAGTTGAGAGTGTTAAACTGAAATATGTTTGACTTGGAGCTGAATGATTTTTGTTAATAAACTCTTATGTTTTGAACAGAAGTTGTGGTGAATTTATTCCATGTATGTGCAGAAATAACTGTTTGACCATGATTAGTGCTCAAATCACTCTTTTATCTATTGTTCTAACACACAGTTAGTAGGACTGTGTGTCATAAACAGTATATAACAGCTGAAATAATATCTGATTAAATAAGATATTTTACCACCCCTACAGGGGAGGGCATTAAACATCTTAAAGTATCAGAAACATAAATTCCCAGCGGGCTGGGAATAGAATTTAACATAAAATCACAACATAGACGTAAAATTGAGCTTTCAATTCATATAGTGGCATCTGGCTATTTTTTTTTATGTTACTTTATACTTTCATACTTTAAGTAGTTTTTGGAGCACATACTTGTTCACTTTTACTTGAGTAAAGAGGTCAAGTTGATACTTCAACTTTTACCAGAGTGTTTTTAATCTGCAGTATCTATACTTCTACTTAAGTAACAAATGTTTGTACTTTTGACACCACTGTCAATAAGGCAAGATTATATATCACAAAAACTCAACAAAAACTGACATATATAACATATCCCACAAAACTTGAAATAATTTTTTAAGCTTCAGCACAAAGGCAAAGGTCTGTATTATTCTTCACATGTTGTTTTTTTTATCAGCATAATGTTGTGGAATTCTAATAGATTTAATGCCCACCCCAGTATGGGTGGTAAATGTGTTATTTAAACAGATGATATTCGGACTAGCATATATTTTTTGTGAACACACGCCCTATTGGCTATATGTTAGAACAACAAACAAAAGTGTGGATAAAGCTCAAATCATTATCAAACAGAAAACTCTGCCTATTTGATATAGAATAAATTCACCACAACTTCCATTAAAAATATAAGAGTTTATTAAAAAAATATATTCAGCTTATAGTCAAACATATTTCATTTAAAACATCTTGACTAAAACCAATGAAACACAACTAAAATAAGATACTATGTACTAAGAAGGTTAAAACCATGGTTGAACACCATAATAAATGAAATGACACAAGGATGAGATGGGATTTTGTCATGTTTCAATTTGCAAAACGTGTTTTTTTTCATTTGGATTTAGAAAACATCATCATTGCTTGCAAAAATAATGAAGCAAATTACACTCCATACCAATCTGATTAATATGGTGAGCTTGAAATATCATATCATGATACAATAATGTAAAGTGTAGTGTAGCAAGTCCCCAGCGTTCAGATCCTGGGAGGGGTGAGGCAATAAAAAAAGATATCCACTCACAAAATATTTCATTTGAATTAAGGTTATTAAGAGAACAGACTTCTTGCTACTTCGAAAAGAGTCATTGTATCGTACTAACAACAGGACTAGTCTATTTAAATATATATATTTATGGATGAGTTAAATTTTACCCACATAACTTTGACTGGATACATAGAGCTGAATAAATACAAATACCTTTATTTTTCTGTTTTGTTTACAGTGTATGTTTTGATCATATGCAGCAATGCTACTATTGTATATCTTATCTGGATTCACGAAAACCTCCATGAGCCGATGTACATTTTTATTGCAGCTTTGTTAACTAACTGTGTTCTCTACAGCACAACTGTTTACCCAAAACTTTTGATTGACTTTTTATCTGAAGAACCAATAATCTCAATCTCAAGTTGTCTTTTACAGTTGTTTATGTTTTATTCTGTTGGGGGCACAGAGTTCTGGTTGTTAGCAGTGATGGCATTTGACAGATATGTATCAATCTGTAAACCTCTGAGATATTCAGCCATAATGAGAAAATCAACTGTTAAAGTTCTCCTGGTTCTGGCTTGGATTGTACCTGCTTGTCACATTGCACCAGAGGCAATACTGAGTGCCTACACTAAAATATGTCACTTCAATTTAAGTGGAATATTTTGTAATAATGCAATTTTTAAACTTCAGTGTCTAAAACCAAAATCACTCACTGTTTTAGGGGTTGTTGCCTTAATTGATCTGGTCATACTTCCTATGCTTTTTACGTTTTTTACTTATACAAAGATATTTGTGATATCTTATCGGAGTTGTAAGTCATTTAGGAGAAAGGCTGCTGAGACGTGCGTACCCCACCTGATCATTTTAATAAGCTTCTCCTATTTGGCTGTGTATGATGTAACTATAGCAAGAATGGAGTCCAATTTTCCAAAACCTGCTAGATTAATAATGACTCTGCAAATAGTTCTGTATCACCCTTTGTTCAATCCAATTATATATGGACTGAAAATGAAAGAAATTTCTAAACATTTAAAAACACTTCTTTTAACAAAAACATAATTAAAATGTTTTTAATTTGTATAACAACTCATTTTCCTGCTTTAGTGTGGTTTGATACAATCTTACTTGAAATTAAAGTGCTTATTGTGGTACAGAGTGGAGGACACATTTATTATTTTTTACTGTAAAAGTGTTTAACAATTAAAGGAAAAGTTTGGTGATATTCAGAATTCAAACTTCTGAAAGTAATTTAAATATAAAATTATGACATACTGTTCAATTAATCATAAGTCTTTTTAATTAAGAGTAATTTTCATTTGCATGTGCTTTACTGGAGACATCCATGTTTGTGCCAGAGCTGTATCTGGTGTGTGTCGGAACGCACTATTATCCAAGTCATCTTGAAAACATTCTTCTTCAAAATACTTGCTAGATATTATGTGTTTTTTGTCTGGCCAAATGTTCAATGGCAAATCCTCCCTCTTGAAGTTGGCAATCAAACAATGAACCCATGGTGGATCATGACTCGGAAAGGTGGAAATTTTTTTCACTTTTACCCGATGTATTACAACATCCAACTGCCATGCACGTGGGCATTGTCAATTTAACCATAGCTCTCACAAATTTCAATGTTAAATTCCTCTCAAAATCTTAAATATTTTTTGTTGATTGCAGATTTGTCTAGTGGTTCCCATTGATTTTGCTTGTAAAGCGGGGAAACTTACCGCACCGTGATGTCACTCCTGGAAGATGTCAGGAGTGAGGTGTTACTAATGGGCAAAAATGGCCGCTCTCAGAATCAGAGATCGTGACAAAAAAATCTTACTTTAATTTTTTTTTACTGTTTAACTCTAATTTAATTAAATCACAGCAAACGTATTAGTTTTAGATATAGATAATGTTCCATTAATTATTCCATGCTGACGGTACTTTTCCTTTAAAGCGTAAAAAGGATAACGCCAGTGTTTTTACATTGGGCCCTTGATTTTTTGTTATTACATAATCTTCTACTCACCCATATGAGTTTTGTGTCATTTGGAGCTGTTCTGAAGATATTCCGTTAGGTCATATCCAAGTCTTCCTATGGGCAACGAGTTGAAGGCACAAACTAAACTGTTCATAATTTATCATTTATGGTATGCCAGCATTCATAACATGTAGGCGAATCACTGTCCCCCAGACATCCGCGGTGATATTATTTAGATTTATATATTTTTTAAAACAAAGCAGAGGGTGTATGACTTGGATATAACGTAACGGAATATCTTCAGAACAGCTCCAAATGACACAAAACTCATATGGTTGAGTAGAACATGATGTAATAACCTAAAATTAAGGGCAAAAAAAAAAAACGGCGCTCCCCTTTAAGTGCAGTTATTTTCATAATTGTAATATAGTAGTAGTAATATGGAAAACAAAAACAAACTTTATGTTTTCAAAAAGTTATTGGGAACTTAAATGTTACATTTTATTTAGTTGTAAAAGATTAAAGGAGGGAGTTTAAAAGCTGTATTATATTTGCTAGAATGAAGGATTTATCCAAAGTAACTACCTGTTGTTTTTGTGACAGTTCTACCTACCATACCATAAGCCTTGCTTTCCAGTTGTGGTGTTGCAATCTCATTCTTTTCAAGATTATATATATTACAAAAACTCAACAAACGGTGATATAGATACAATATCCAGCAAAACTTGAAATAATTTGTTAAGGTACAGCACTAAGGCAAAGGTCTGTAATATATTATTTGTGAATATACGCCTTACTGGCTGTATTTTAGAATAACAAATGAAAGTGCAGATGAAGCTCAAATCATTGTCAAACAGATAACTCATATGTAGAATAAGAATGAATGCAAAGATATCAGAGTTTAGCATGGATTTTGTGTTTCAGAACCAAACGTTTATCATGATGAACTTGGGATCTGATCAAATTAACTTCTAATTTAGAGCAATTTGAAAGTTTTCAAACCAATTAACAATGAAAATCCAAGACATGAATCAATTATTATTTGACCAAGTGATGTTTTATTAGATGGTTTTCTCAATCAGGAAACAATAACTTTTAGTTAATTGTTTCTTTACCTTCTTTGAATGAGCTAGACATTACCAGACATGAGGACTCCCAACATTTGACATTTGGTTATAATTCAGTAATCAAAATGTGATGAGCATATGAGAAAAACACATGAATGCTAATTTTATAGTAGTGTTTAAACCCTTAATGAAATAAAGCTTGTTTAAGCCTTATAAATAAAAGCTCAGATGTGGTAGAATAGTGTACCATGTGGTCTATCTGGTTAGCTTTTTCTTAACTAAACTATAAACACAGTTTTAGTGTGAACAAGGTTTTAAAAAAATCAAAGAAACAAATTATTTATCTACAAACTCTCCCTGACTTGTGCCAGACCTGAAACTCAAATAGGAACGTTAAAAACAGTCTGTTTTGAAGCAGTTCATTCTGAAATGTGAACCATCACTGCTTAGCTTTGGTCAGTCTGGAGATCTAGAGTCTGCCCCTAATATTGTCTCTCCTTTGTGAACCTCCCAGGGCCTCATGGAGAAAGAGGAAGAGAGTTAATCTATTGACAAATGTTTAGGAATGGAGAAGGGTTGAAATAGCAAAGGGAGTGAGATGGTTTGTTTCTGTGTTTCTGGCACAAATAGAGCAAGCCAAGACATATCTTTTAGTGTTCGTAAAGGGGCAACCACCAAAATTGGTGGGAGATAAGCGTAGCTGTGCTGCTGCCATTAACACCTTTGTTTATAGATTTTGGAGCATTTCCTGTTTATCTTACTGAGACTATTTGCTCTCTTCATCAATGAGTCTATGCAATCAGCTGTTTGTCATTCGATAGAAGGCCCATCTGACCGTATGATCGAGTTGTACAGTGCCTTGAGATTATATAAATAAACTGTGGTGAATTAGTGCCACAGGTACCAGTGTGACCTTAAAACTTGGCTGAACCATGGAATTAGGAGGCAACATATATTTTATCAGGAGGACTATTTCGGAACTATTTAGGATCTGTTTCTTTCTGTAAAGGTGCGTTAACATCAAATGGACAACCTGTGAAAACTTTGCCAGTTTTGCCTGCTTTTGCTTGCCTTGAAATTCACCTGGCCACCGAAAGCAATTTGCCTGGGCGGCAAATTTGCCTGACAGGCAGAAGGTTCCAAAATCAAGAAATCTGCTGGTTATTGGTTTCCCCTCAACATTACAGATATGGATTTATGAAGTGACTGACAGAGCTGTTTTTACTTTGGAAAGCTAAACAAAGCTGTCAGCATTGCTGGGTTCACCAGATTCCAAGAGACAAAGTGTCACCCTTTTTAACTGAGTAGTCAAAATAAATAAAATTTCAAAAGTATCAAGTGTTATTTTCAAAAATTAAAAAAAAATGTCTCCAGTCTACTCACTTTGGGTTCAATTAGGTTCGTAAGGAGA